GGGTCAATCAACATGCTGTCACTATTTTTGTCATCAGCTCCATGTGAGCTTTCAGATGACACCTCTTCTGGACTGATAGGACTAAGAGTGAGAAAATTAGCATCTAACCATCCAATATATTTGTGTAATCTTCCATGTTCACATGCCCCACCGTGACTCTGTTATTGTGGCCAAACATTTTCTAGGCTCTTTGCACASAGAACTAACACTTCAACTTGTATAGTGAAAGAAACGAGAAGAAATGGGAAATTGACTGGCATGATAAGAAATGGACCAAAAAATGTCCAATTTGTACTGCACCTCCCTGACCCTGTTATTGTGGCAAAACATTTTCTAGGCTCTTAGCACAGAGAACTAACACCTCAACTTGTATAGTGAAAAAAAAAAAATGGGACATTGATTGGCCTGATAACGTAGCAATGCTCCTTTTGGATGAAACTAAAATATTTCTGCATAAATCAGCTGGTAACTGAGACACTGAAAATTAATCATCTCGCTGGCTCAGGCAATTTGGTGCTAATAATGTCTATTTTCGAATTATAGGAAGTACATTAAGAGTGAGTTTCTGTAAATATCAAACATTTTCGAAAAATCTTGGCCATCTCAAAAATTCGATTTTCCTGAAACTTTCCATACAAGTTTGACTCACCCCGCAAAGAAAAATCGGTATCATAAGGTCGGGGGGGCCTTCGTTTCCATGGCAACCACCCCCACTATTTTAGGTCATTTTTGATCCAAAACAGCTGTAAATAGGTTAGCTTTTTAGGCCATCATTACTATTAAAAAAATTTGCAACACAATTCTTTTGCTATATCACAGCAAAGAATCATCCTTGGACTTTTGTTGGAGATACTTTTCTTTGTTCTGGTTGCCATGGTTATTCCATAATGAAATTTACAACACACTGAGGTTTTCAATATTTATTAAATGCTCAATTTTGGGTAACTTTGGTGTCTTGTATCTCTGGTGGTAACGCNAATGTTCTTGCATAATATACAACTAGTATATTGTGCATCTAAAATTCAATTTGTAATTCCAAATGAAAAACACAAATATGATTCATTGGCAAACAAATATTTATTGTCAAGATTCTCTGCTGCAAAGTTGTTATTGGTGTATTGTACCCTTTGACATTAATCAACTGAAATTATTGCACAGTTTACCATTTCAGTTCTGATAGCATTGATGGTGATATACTACAAAGCATGAAGTGATAAATGAGACACACCTGCAATACATCCYAACATATGAATACGCAATCATTTTTGGTGAGAAGTAATTAAGAACTGAATGAAATCCTTCCAGGGCACTAGTTTGCTCGATTGGTGAGGCTTGCTTAATTCCCTTCACCAGGCTTGTGTTGGTCAAGGCAGCTACTAATTTGTCGTGTGCAGTTGAACCTTGTATAATATAAAATAGCATGAATTATTAACTCCATTGAGATGCAGATTAGAGTATAAAGTCAGCAATACAGAGGGAAGTGGGAAGGGGGGCAAATTTCTTAAGTAATTTCCAATTAAGGGCCATYAAGTAMGGAAAAGAGGACTTGACACATTATACACGTTCCTACTTACTTTAGACATTACAGATGTACATTTGATTATCAATAATGATGATTAAAGTTTRTAAATAAATACCTTTTTCTAGCCAGGTCCTATTTCGGATTTCACGGTGTGCACATTTATTGAATGTGGGGTTTGCAAGGTTGTTATGCACATTGACAACATGGCTTAGAARTGACTCAAACTTGGCCCAGATAAGGTTACCATCACCATTGTGTGTAGACATCGCACTCCAATATAAGTGGTTCTCACATGGCTTTATCCAGTCCTTTAAAACTTCACAATTGCTCTCTTTTGATAGTTTATTGAGTACTTTTCTTATTTCTGTGAAAAAAATYCAATATTGATAACTGTGATTAATTCAAAAACAAAATGTCAACAAAGGGTACCTACTCTTTTTCAAATGCCACAGATCRTAAAAGTGCTTTATTTGGTTGAGGACTTTTTTCATATGGCTTGAAATGGATGTGTGTCTATCCGATATAAATGTATTTATATCAAGAGAAGATGTCTCTAACAAGAACTCCATACAATTCTTAAATCCTACGAATTCCATAGCATTGCTGCTGTCARCCTGGTTTCTCTACAAATAAAATGGTAGTGGTTATCAATGATGTTCTATACAAAATAAGAGTATGGCACAAAATATGTACTTGAAGGAGAGAACATGTCATGTGTTAAGAGGTTATCTTGTCCATTTGTTGTTTCAGAGTATAAAATT